AAGCTAGCAACACTAGGCTAAGCATTCATCTTAACAACTCATATAACTATGGGTATTCGCGGTGTGATTTGGTTCAGATTTTATTATTTTTTAAACCAATCCAATTTAATCAGTTAATAAAATTTTTAAACTAATCCAATCCACTATTATGTGGTAACCAAACCAATCTAATTTAAATCGGATCGATGTGGTTTGGTCATATTGATCGATTTTTAATATTATTAAATATATAAGATAATATAAAAATATTTTAACATCAACTAGAAAGTATAATTATAAAATAAATTAACATTCAAGTCAGTAAAAACATAATAATAGGTAAAAATTTCTAGCACAACGTAAATAATTCTTGAATATTAAAATTCTTTTTTTTTTCTTAATGCACTAATAATTTAATCACATTTTCTAAATCATATTAAAAGTGAATAACATTTAACATGGATATTACTAAAATTGATTAGAAGCATTCATAATCAAAATTTAAAACTTCTAAACCAAATATCTAAAAATAGTAGAATATTAAGACTAATTTTATTATAGAGTTTTAAGACTTTTAGAATGATACTTATTTACAATTTAGTTAGGAGAACTATAAGATTATTTTAAAAATAAATTAAAAATTTAAGGTTCTAAGAGTAAAGGCCCAAACTAGTTATGAGATAATAGAGTTGCAAGTGAATTAGAAATTTAATAATAACTTAAGGAATATGAAAATGTTCTATTTTTATTTTTTTTAATTAAGTTAATGGAGTTATAATCTTGTAAAATAAGAAAAAGAAAATTTAAAATACTACAAAAAATGTGTTATATTATTTAATTAAATTATCTTCTAATCATATTTTATTTTGTAATCGGACAATTCGGACGGTTTGAAAGTAAAATCATGAACCAAACTAATTATCTTGGTTTTAAAATTTTAAAATTCAAACTAATTTAATTTTATATTGGTTTGGATCGATTTTTAATTGAATTAAATCACTTTAGGTTGGATCAATCGGATTGCATCAGATGTGAACACCTCTACATATAACCTTCCCCAGAAACAAAGCAACAGCAGGACTTCATCCTTGCTCTATTATGTGCATCTCATAACATTTTGTTATTCTTTGCAGATTTCGTCCATGTTTTTTTTTTTTTCTATGGTTACATCGTACATGTTTTTTTACTTGTTCAATAGGTAATTTACTCGTACATACATCAACCTATTTTTGTAATACAATCTCTTGTGCTTCCCTTTTTAACTCGCAGCTGATAGTTCTATAAAACTTGTGTAATTCATCAAGTTCCAGTGTCTCTTGAACAGAATTTGAATCCTGATCAAGCTAACTTCTGCGCTAGCGCCAGATCGGACGCAACAATTACAACATCCCGACCCAATATATGAATCATTTGTATGCATAGGACGAGCTCCCATCACTATTTCTCTCGACATTTTGGGTTACAGCCAACTGGGTTCTTGCATTAATTTTTATTTATTGTCATTGGTGCATCATTCCAGTGTTTCATTTTCTTAAAGTTTAATGTTCTGTTTGGTTCGCCATTCACCCAGAAAGAAAAATATGGGGAAGGCTTGCATTGGAAAATGTGCCGAAAATGAAGAATTCGGATGCAACAGCTTGGAGTTGCTTATGCCAGAGACTAACCAATTAAATTACACGCTAACCATCTAAGTCAATCGCAATTTTTTTAAAATGAAAGTAAGAGCTGCTTAGTAGTTGAGTGGAATCCAGAGTTTGTAAAATTATTGAACTAGAGCTGAAAAGAAATCAAGGTTAATAGGGATTCAAAATTAGGCTTAAATTTTCACCATAACCACCACCTGGTCTTTTTCTTATGAAGGGGATGAGAGAATGGGTGAGGGATTAAGTTAGAGATAGACCTCCATATGAAGATGTGTCACCTTTAGATCAAGCATTAAAGGAAATTGGAAAAGAGATCAGTAGGTGTTTTCCATGAGTTGCTTTCGTTGTTTAAAGGGTTCTGGTGCCAATCTTGGGGAAGTTTACCGAGGGCTGTTTTAGTATTTTCTGTATGTTCACATTCAGTGATGTGAAAAGGCATTCTAGAATAAAAACAAGTGTTTCTGTTATTTGAATTGTGAAATATTAACTATTAGATTATGGTGAAATCTTTTAATAATATGAGAGTGTCTTTTAATCTAATAACTGATGTTTTATAATTTGATACAATTAAAATTGCGAAACATAATAAACTTCTAGAATATTTATTGTTCTCATTGAAAGGTGAGATATATATACTACAATACCACAGGAATGCATATAATATAACTTTTGATCCTTTCATAAAACTAACTTGGTAAAGTTGATTTGGACTTTCAAATTTCTGGTTTCATAGCTACTATATAATATAACTTCTGGAACAAACATAATGTTTCTGCTTGTTCCCATAAAATATATATATATATATATAATGTTTCTGCTTCCTAATTTATCTAGAAAGATAATTGATACTTGAATACACCCATTAGGAAGAATCGGTTTGTCACCTAACAAGTGACCACACTAAAAGAATGTGGTGGGCATAACCTGCTTTCATCCGTATCATCAACTAAAAGAAAACAACGTCATTCTCTTTGTCATCACTATTTCTTTATTTCCAATTCCCGTATAAGAAATCTCAATCAAAAGGAATAAGGACCTTGTGATTGAACGAGTATAAATTCCAGCACAGGCAATCCTAAGGCACCAAAAATCAGAAAAATTCACAGAATAGGCATGGAAAAGGTCAAGTTTCCTCTGTTGATCCTCTTGGTAGGGCTGTTTGTACTACCGGAGGTGAAGTGTCATCAGAAGTTACCATTACCAACACAAAGCCCGCTCTGCAACTCCCAATTTGCACTGGCGAATCATGCGTGTGCATTCTTACCGCTGATCCCTTTGCCACCTCTTGACATTCATCCTTCCTCTGATGACAATGGGGGTGAAGGGCATAATCACAGACACAGACACGGGCACGGGCACCACAGACATGGGCACCACCATGGGCATCATCAACACAGGCACGGGGAATCCTCTGAAGATGACAGTTGCTGCAGGTGGTTAAAGGCTGTAGATAATGAATGTGTTTGTGAGCTTCTGTTTCACTTGCCACCTTTCCTCTCAAGGCCTAGCCATACTTTCCATGTCCATGTTGATGACTCCTGCGATGTTATCTTCACATGTGAAGGCTGATTGAAACCATGAAACAATGTCAATTTACAAAGAATATCTCCCCTTTCTTGAGCCTCAAACTAGTATAATTACCTACTTTAATCATTCCGTTATTAACATATGATATTATTATTCTATGAATTTCAGCTTATTTTTAGTTCTACATATACTTATATTATGTTTTAAGAAATAATAATAATAATAATATAGTTCAAATTTGACTTAACAATGATTATTACTAGTTTGATACAAGTTTATGTCTGGTTCCAAAAAGATGAATGTGATATGAAATTTGGTTGTACCAATTGGGTTTCATGTTGCTCCATGTTCAATTCTTCATTCCATGAATGTACTTCATCAAGTCTCAAGCTTTTGTCATATTCGCTATTATACATGGCAAATGGGTCAAGCCCAACAAAACTAGGCCCTGGTCGAGTTATGGATATTTAAAATCGTAAATAAAAAAGATATTTTATAATATTTTTTTTGAACAGGTTTTTACAAGGACGGGTCGAACCCAGTCCAAGGAGGGAGGAAATGCATCGTGAGTGGCTATTGCCACTTGGGCCAAAGGGCTCGGTGCAGATATTTTATAATTTAAATTATTTATAAATTATAATATAAATTATAATATAAATTATTAAATAAGAGATCAAATAAGATAAACTCTTTCATTTAATGGTCTGTACGAAGTTTAAAGTATAAAACACTAACCTTGTGTACATTCACTCACAATATTTTGTCAAAATATAACAGAGGACGCATAAGTTAAAAGCATGTACTCATTTCCAATCAAAATTCATCAAAATTAATTTATTGTATGTTGGATTTAAGGTTACTACATCGCATCATGCCAAAAGTCATGCAACGTGATATCTTGGAGGCAGAAAAGGCAACCCAGCCGCCTGCACCTCCTCAGTGGCTCCACTATACAAGAATTGCGCCACTATCTCTGTGCTTGGGCGGACCACCAGTTCGTTCCATGCCTCGTCAGCTTCCCTGCCTTCCAGCTGGAAAGCCTCCGTGGCATCAAGCCTGTGTATGTTCCATACGTTCTTCAATCGGTGAATCTTCTCCAATTGCCGGCAGGCCAATTTGCAGGTGTTGTTCTTGATTTCTTGGATAGCTTTCTTCAGCAGCCTAACCCTGTTTTCTTCGTTGAGAAACGGTTCGGCTCTAAAGTACGTATCGAATTCCGGTACCCCGATTGCTTTCCTGATACCCTGTTTGTAATCCGCATTGACGGAGAAAAACCCTCTCACCTCGTTGACCATCCCATTCTTCACCATCCTGTCAACCCGTTCCGACACGTACTGATGGAGCACCGGCATTGCAACGTCAACCCAGAGGAAACAACATTCATATTTTGATCGAAACTGAAAGTCTTCATCGTCGATTAAAGCCTTAATGTAGGAATTGGAGCCACCGGTAATGATGGGAAGCTGGCGACGGGACAGAATCGATTCCACGGCCATCAACGCCATGTTGCAAAAATCCGATGCCGTGAAATCGGCATTGGGATTCACTGTTCCTAACAAATGGTGAGGGACTCTGTTTTGTTCTTCCAGTGTTATTTTATTGGTCGCAATGTCTAGTCCTTTATGAACTTGCACTTTGTCTGAGTTTATGACCTCGACTGGAAACTGGGTGGCGAGGTCGATGGAGAGGCGGGACTTGCCTGTTCCGGTAGCCCCCATTACCACCACCACCTTCTCCTTTGGCAGCCAGGGGGTTAAAGTGCCCATCTTGAGCCTGCCTGGACCATGAGAAATGTCCAGGGCTGCAAGGACATGATGTCGTTGTTGTGAAATCGACATGGAAATTCCCATCATGAAAAACCTATTAAGAAAGCAAAAAAGGGAAAACGGAAAATTTTCAATAAGTTATAGAATTTGTATTGCTTTTAGAAGTCTAACCTGAGACTAGGGAAATTGAAGCTGGAGGAGCTGCTGTGCAGATTATGGAAGAACTCTACAGGTGGGAAAATTTATGGGCAACACCTTAATGGGTTTATCAACGTCCCAGCTTTAGCTTTGGGAATAAAGTGACCAAACATATAATAATTATATCTCTTTTGTCGAGTCTTAAACATCATATCACTAGCTATTTACTTAGTTTTCTTACACTAATTTAAAACAATCCTCTCTTTTATTTAAAAATTTAAACTATTAACTGATATTTTAGGTCAAGTGTAAAGAGTATTCAAGAAAATTTAATTTATTAAATGCATTAAGATGACGATGTGGGGTGTAGCCTTACTTTTGCTAGAGAAGGAATGATCTCAAGGTATATAAAATCTGATCTGATAACACTGCTGTTTTATAAAAACTGAGACTTCAGTTTAGAAATAGTGGAAATTCCCACAGCCTCCTAAGTGTTCATTTCCTTTTTGTTGGTCCTAGCTTTATAAAATTTGAGGGTTTATATTGATTGTGTATGTATGAGTGAAGCTTTTCTTTTTGGTGTTGATAACCTTGTTTTTGAGAAAGCAATGGACGAGGACAGAAATGGTTCCATTTTGGGGAATTAACAATTTCCATTTGCAGAAGAATATGATTTTTAAGCAGAAATAGGAGTATTCGGTGGAACTAGTAAACTACACTTGCTTCTAGTTTTAGTGAATTAAAGAGTGCATTCCAGAGTAGTCGACTGGACCAGATATGATTAATTATACAACCGATGTTCGTTAGAATAAAGTTATAAGGACAGTACTTGAAACCTAGAAGTTGACTGCATAAATTCTCCAACTTGGGACAGAATCTTACTTGGCAAAACGGTTAAATCCGTCCCTGAACTTATTGAACTGATTCAATTAGTTCTTGAATAACTTTTAGAAATAAATTGACTATTGAACTTGCCGACTTAAGACAAATCAACTCGTTTTTTATATGATTTCTTTAGTTTTTCAATTAGATGTCATCTCAACAATACTTAGTGGCTTGACAAAAAACTAATGGAACAAACAAAAAAATGGTTGATTGGCCGCTTTAATTGATTAGTTCAAAAGTTAATTTCTCTTTAAAAAAAAAAAAAACTTAGTGTTGATTTGCATCAAATCAATAAGTCTGAGGACTTTTTTTGACCTTTTTGCCTTCTCATATGTGAAGGGAATTTGGCAAAGCTGGTTTAGCCGGACCATAGGTGTGAAAAAGGGGTAAGTACCTTTGAAGGATATGTCAAAATCAAGCATTTAGAAAAATACAGCAAATTGATGTTTTTAAGACGTATGAGAATATGCTTATCCCTTCGGTGTGTGGGGATCGATCTGTGGACACGAGCTCTTATAAATCAAGTATGATATATACATCACCTTAAACTGAAAAAACTTCAACTCAAAAGCTAAGGGGGGTCAATAAATCATGTCAATGTATATGGATACAAGTACAACACTAATTGTTGGTTTCTTTACTTTGAACTGGTGAACCTCAATAAACTTTGAGCTATAAGAAATTCAAATAGGACACTTTTTTATTACATGTTTTTTAAATCATTTGACTAATTTTTTTTAATGGAGTTGATGGCAAGGCTGCCAAAGTTGCTCCACTAGCTTTTGGAGAAGCGGTGCTTTCTATCCAAAATTCTTTTCTGTCCAAAATTCTTTTCTGTCCCATCTCATTTGACCACTTTCGCATATCAGAAATGTTAAGGTTCCCTTTTAAATTGATTGGCAGTTTAAGTGTCACACACCGAAAGAAACTTACCAAAATCTTTGAGTGCAAATCATTCAAAATGTGCCAAAGAAAGGAAGAATTTATAATTTTTTTTATATACATTGCGTTGGGATAATAATTCGAACACCTTAAATTAAACTTGTAAGGTTGAAAAAGAACTCAATTCTTTGAGATTTGGCGAAATGCCCAGTTCATGGATACGCAACATTTGGCCTCATAGGATATCTTGCCACGTAGACAACATCTCATGG